CGATGGTAATAACGACAATGATCAACAAAATGCCAGCAAATTTCCTACTATGGTAACATAATACGGATCTGCAAAAAAGAATCCTTTTTTTCTGACTACAGTCAGTAAAGAAAATGATGATTTAACCAGACAAAATTTCACGCGTTATATTTGGTTAATATCGGTCGAATTTTTTTTTGCACATAATTGAACACAGTATTTGTTCAGTCAATTTTCAACAAATACTTTGGTGGGTCAAATAATTACTGAAAATACTGAAACGTAAAATCAATAAAATACTTAATTTTTATATTATTCTGTGTTAATGGTTCTATGTTTTTGAGGCATCAAAATAAGTCAAGAAAAACTGCTGCTATCTACAAAAGAGGTTTAATGAAAACGGTTATTTGTCATTATTGAAAATAGACTGAAAAAATGTCTCAGTGTTATGTATTTTAAAAATAGACTGAAAAAATGTCTCAGTGTTATGTATTTATATCTTTTTTTTTTCTTTTTTTCTTATTTTACTTCATGTGAGGTTTCCAATTGAAAAAAGAAATTTGCTAGATGACACATAGTCCCTAAATTTGCTACTTTTACTGCTATTGTTGATGAACTCCGATAATCATATTCAGCACTTTTCGCTGTGTACCGATTTAATATGTAGGATCACAGTGGTCGTCTTTTGAAATGTTGAATAGATTTTGTCGCTGCAAATTTCTGCTGGAAATTCAGGATTCAAGCCAATTCCTACTTCTTTGTCAAATTCTATTTGAAGGCGGTATGATACCTCGGCTTAAATAAACTTTGGAAAACCTGTTTGCAACTTGTTAAGTCCATCTTTTCCTCGCCTCTATTTATCATTGCTCATTCGACATGGCTGCAATCATAGTTGTCACCAGTAAATATGTTTTAGATTCTTCTTTTTTTTTTTTTTACTATGCTTATGTTTTCATTAAGCGACAGTTTTTCAAATTTTGTCTTCACTATCCTATCGAAAAGCTTCTGATAATTTAAGTTAATGCTTATCGTTAAATTTAGTGGCATAATATTAAGGCTAGAAATTTTTTTTTCTTTTTTGGAATTTTTCTGCTCAGCAATCAATAAATCGTTTTTTTCTTCTTGTCTTTTTTTCCACCTTGATAAATTCTATGTCAGCTTAGCAGCAGCAAAACAAAGAGCAATTCTTCTTGATAATATTAAGTTTGAATAAAACTTTTTAAAATTATTTTTCATCCATCTATATCTTAGACAGACAAATTTTATTTTATTTTATTTTTTTTATTCTTTTTTAAATTTTTGAGGTAAATTTTGGATGCTTTTATATTACTTTTGTGGCAAAGCAACAATCAATTGATAATAATCAACGGCCAATGTAATGCAGTTATATAAGTTAGACATAATTTAAAGGAACGTACAGGAGGAGAAATTGGGGAAGGAGAGGGCGGTTAAGGAATAACGATTGCTGCTAAGTTTTTTTTT